AAAGTGTTCTCTCTCATGGTCCACATGCCCCATGTAAGGTTTCAAGAGCCAGGGGAGGAGAGGGTTGGCAGAGTCCCTAAGGATGTGGGTGGGACAATAACTCTACTGACTTCTACGCCTCCAGGGCTCCCAGCATTGTGTCCATTCCTGGCCTTGAGGTCACTACCCTCCCAGCTAGTGAAGATGTGGGTGATGCACTGATAGTGGCTGAAAATGCTTTGCGCATGATGGAGAAAAAAGCCTTCAGGTTGATGAACTCCATGGTGGCTTGGGGTGGACAAAGGATGGAGATATGTGTGCCTGCAACAGAACCTGGGGTGCTCTGTCACTTTAGAGAGAAAGAGCCTAGGAAGAGCCCTGCTGGGCAGGCAGGACACAGCTGCAACTGGGTTGCCATCGAGACCAGTTGATGAGATTAATTAGCAGGCACCTGCAAACAGTCCAGGTGAGTCACCTGACTGGAAGGGGGAATTGCCCTGGGAGAGATATAAGGCAGGGCGAGATCCACGACAGGCAATGTGGCCATAGAGGCTGAGCAGGTAAGAGCTTTCCAGACTGCCTGTGACTGAGAGGCAGACTGTGAATGTGATAGGCCTGGAGATAGCAGAGAGTGAAGCTGAAGGCTAGTAACTCATTTAGACCAAGGCTGTGGTAGGAGTTTAGTTATAGCCAGAAGGACTTGTGTTTGTATTTTGGTTTCAGCTTGGTCCTGGGTCTAGGGAAGACCAGGAGGGTTTGGTGCCCAGAAGGAACTAGATACTGAGAGAAGACCTGGTGGTTTGTGGGGATTCTGAGGGGTGGCTTGGAGGTACCATGGTACCTGGGGGAGGGTACAGCAATCACATAGTGCCCAAGAGGAGTAATCCTACAACAAGTGAGGGGTGCACTAAGCATGCCTAGTGGTGCAATCCTAGAGAGGCTCAGCAGCTCAAGAGAGAGTAGAGATAAGGCCTTGGAACAGATAGACAGTGTCCACAGAGGCTCATTAACCTCAAGAGTGCAGAGATAAGGCCTTGGAAGGCAGAACCCCGAAGCTCAGTCCAGTCAGTGAACTATAGCTAGAAGGATCAGCAATAGCAAATAGGGAGGAGCCTGGGAAGGTCAAAATCTGACACTAGAACAATGGCAGGCTTGCTCTAAGACCCTCAGGCAGTTTTCCTCCTAACAAACAATAACATCAAAGATGTGGTGGGAGAGTAAAGGAGGTGAGGGCCCCTAGAATTTGAGTTGGGGCAGGAATTATGTGGGACCCAAGCCTGTCACAGTACTATTAACAGTCTCCTCCTCCTCTCCATAGTTGGCGAAGCCCTTCTGACAGATGCAATGGTTTGCCAGTATGTCTTGAATGATCCTGTATACTCCCCAGACTGCCACTTCAGCCCTAGACTTGCTCATGCTGAACTGGTTGGCAACAGACACTCTCAGGAATGGCCCGCTTCCAGATGGCAATGATGGCATGCTTTGCCAGAGTCAGGGATGGCCTTATGCCAACATTCTGCCCTTCAGTGCGAGGGCCAGATGGGCATCAATATCCATGAAGGCAGCCCAGCATGTGTGGAAGTTTGCACCCACTGCTTATCATCCTAAGTGGCTAAGACAATCTTCTCCCACCAGTTGCTGATGGTTTTGCAGACTCCAAACTGCACTCAACAGTCTAGAGGTGCTCCCACAGCACCCCAGAATCAATGACAGCCAGAGGGCCCCTGGCTTCCTCAGCCAGGTGGAAGCAACTGGCTGATTCTAAGGCCCTTGGTAGACATAGGGGTCCAGTAAATGACCCTGGGATACTGAGCTCCAAGTTCCTAGGCAGGGAAGCATATGCCAGTATGTACATCTGCCAGGTCATGTGCAGATATACATAGGTGATGTCCCTCAACCTCTTGTGAGTCACTCAGGGCAACAGGAAGGATGTGCTGCAGCTCCTGAGTCCATGGTCTACTGTACAAGGGTAGGGATTCTTGGCAGGGTCTAGGCAGAAAAAAAAGATGTACTTTCACTTACAAGAAACTTTAGAAGTTTGGGAACTTGCTTTAGGTCTTTTCTGGAAGCCTCTGGGCAGGGAAAGAGGGAGGAGTCATTGTGATGGGAAGTTCCCCTATAGCAGCCAGCCTGTGAGGACAACCCTGCCCATGCGGATGCATTCAGCAAACTCCAGCAACCCAGGAATCCCATGGGGCATGCTGGGATATACATGGAGGGGTTTGATCTACAGGTCATGCTTGCTTCCTCCCCTGAATGCTAAATACTTGCATGATGCTGTATTGATAGGGGTTTAGGCTGCTCAAACTAAACCATGCAACTTAGATGGGTTCTTTTAAATGGTTGCATGTACCCTGATTCTTCTCCATTGTATTTCTGCATTCTGCTCAGAGTGTTCAGATGCCTGTTTTTGTTTTAGAAGAATGCCTTTTTGGAAGAAAGTGCAAAACTGACAATCTTTTGCAAAAAAAACCCCAAAACCCAGAAAAATACATGGTATTTTAATGAGATTTTGTGATCCTGATAAAAATGACCTTATATGTTAGAGAAACATAATGCTGAGGAGAAGAAACTGGGTTAGCTCAGATTCTCAGCTCCTGTTTACTGGCATGACTTTGCTAATGAAATCATTAGCATGAGTAAATTTCAAGTCCAATGTAATACAATATTGCTTTGAAACTGATTGATAACATTCTTATTTTTAACAGCTTGCAGAGTACATCCTAGATGGATCAACAATACAAGAAAGCAAACAAGGTGTGCTAACGGTATTCTCCCAGCCTGTGTCAACACAAAATGTGTTTCCATCTCCATGCCCATTTCAATAGGAGAGATTCAGTAATCCTAATATATATATTCTATAATAAGTTTATTTATTATGCATTAGACATCACTTTTGCTACTTTGGATAAGTGATTCAATTTAAGTTTATATCACTGCAGATATTTTGACTTTGGTGTGGGGAAAATGGATAAAATGTGATGAGATTCAGAAGTGTCATGGACTTAAAACCACATCAGCTAATGGACAACAGTGATAGAGCAGAAAACTGAAATTAATAATATTACTTTATGAATAGAATAGACCAGTGTGTTATTTTCATGAGACCATACATCAACATTCTTTAGAAGAATACCCAAGATGCGTAGAAATTTACCGTTGTGCTTTAACAAAATCTAAACTTACAACTTTAATTGCAGACTCAATGGAAAAAAAATGTCTTGAAGCAAATTCAAACAATAACATTGTACTATAAACCAAGAAAAATCCCTTTGCCGACTCACAAATCCAGTGAACTCAATTATTAAAATTTAATTGAGAACTTGATATCAAAGGCTTACAAGTGAAGACTTAAACTAATTTACTTTGGTGACCAACATTATTTGGTTTCCAAGTTTAATTTACAGTTACAGTAATATTTTGTTGAGCTTTACCATCTACCTACAATAAATGAATTATTTAGTAAGACTTAATTTTTTTTCTCGTTTACTGATGATGCAGGTTTAGAAGCGATGAGATTTTTTTACTGGAATGGTAATATTAGCAGAGATTATTTTGGCAAGAATGCATAGCAAATAATTATTTAATTTCAGCCCATCACTATTTATGCTGTCATGTTAGCTTCTAGCAGTATTGTCTGACCGTGTTTTCAGTAGGAAAACCAAACTCTCATGCACATACTGTTTGTTTTAATGTTTTCAGACTTCATATAAAGACCACTTACAGAGCTTTACATTTTGTTTTCAAATCGCACTGATTTTTTTTCACAAAAAACAAACAACCCCCAACCAAACACCAAGAAAGATTTTTCCACCATTTTTGAACTAGCTTTATACAGAGGGTAACTAAGGATGAGGCTAGGTGGGATGAGGCTATTTAGTTAATGTGTGATGCAGTACTGCCACCTTGTTTTATGCATCTTTTCTAAACACACACTGAGAAATAGAAAGAAAACCAAACTGATAAATTCACTAAAATTGGCTCTGTGGGTTCAACTGTTTTCAGGGACTTTAAATCTGTGGCCTCCACACTAAGGTTCTCCCATTTTGTGGAATGTGGTGGTTTAGGAATCAGAAACACAGACAAGAAAGCACAGGAAATCAGAGACTATAAACCGTGTTTATTAACAATTGCTTACAATTAATTAATTTGGAGGGGAAAAACCATTACTGATTTTATACCAAAGCTATGTTATGAAAGAAATATTGAGGAGAATGTAGGAAATGGTGCATCTTCACTGTGGAGGGTAAAGGCACTCTATTATTACTACAATAAAGTAACTATAAATCATCACTCCAGAGGCCAAAAGCAGTACAGCAGAATTGGGATCCGGTTTTGATATTACTCATTACACTTGCAAATCAAGCCTCTTAGCAGCAGGATGGAGGAAAGTCTTTGGACCCTGTTCTTTTCCACCACTACAAGATATGATAATCTGGCTATTTTAATATTAAAGGAAACTGCATCATCATCATCATGAACAGTTTTGAGTGATGCCTGCACAACAGAGACTATCATGATGGTATAAATTCTGTTGAACTAAAACAAGCCTGAAACCACAGCAGGTTTGCCCACTTAAACGGAGAAAGCACAATCTGTTGTTCTTTTAAAATGTGGCCATGAACACACATTCAGGGATTCAAAAAGTTTCAGCCCTGAGAGCCCTATTGTTTTTATCATAATATGATGGTTAGTTAATGAAGTCTTTCCCTATATTACTTTGAAAATAAAACCTCTAACAAAAAGAAGTTGATGAGGATGGTGATAAATCAAGAAACATCACTTTCTAAAGATGTTAGACACAAGATGCTGAGTGCATTGTTCAGCCTCATTATATAATACTTTAATCATTCTTAACAGCTGTAAATGGGACTAGTTCCATTTGTATCAGTGATACTCTCCACCAATGGAAATTCCCATTTCTAACTATCTGGGGAGGCCTAATTGTTTAAAAACTCTTTACTTAAAGACAAATACAGCATCAGAAAGTAATTATACACTGTACTTTGCTATTTACTTACTGGGAAGTGAAGTTGTAGTAGCGACGGTTGGAACCAAAGTTGGTTCTGGATATATGCTTTCTTTACAGATTCCACTTGTTAAACTGATGTCATCCAAGGCAATATCACTTAGACCACGTTTCTTGTGAGCTTCAAAAATCACCTGAAATTCATGAAACAAATATTTAGAATTTAACAGCGAGTTTTCTGACTTCCTGTGCTTTGGTAAGAGTTTCAAATGTTTCCCTGCATTTTCTAAATGTTACCCTAATATCTTTTTTTACAGTTGCATTCAGAATGGGTCACTAATGGTCAGAGATGTAGTAAGCTCATTAAGCATCCCAGGGCAGGGTGTTGGGAGATGGCATACTAACCACTGTAGAACAAGTGTGGAGAAGAGCAGGAAAGTGGGTGAGTGAAAGGGAAGGTTTACCTTCCTGGGCTGCTGCTACCATTGCTGCTGCCAGCTGCCCAATATCTTGTATCCTGTTCACTTCATGTATATGTATTGGGTGCAGAGCTGTGCCTTCTTTGGCAAAGGTTCCCTGGGACATGGAGCCCTAGTCTACTTGCTCCACTCATCTCTCCTCTGAGATACACTCCTTGGTGTGGCACTGCACTGCCTGGCTTCTACGTACTGGGGAGGGGCAGTGCAAGGCTACCCCTGCCACAGTAAAAACTCCTGGGGGTGATTCTGGTACTTCCTCACAGTTGGCACCTGTGGTTGGTGCCCTGTTCACCTCCCCCTAATTGGTATATGATAATTGCTTAGTTTCTGGAAAGCTCTCCAAAAGACTGCAATCTGTGGCTCATGCTTAGAAATCAACAGATCTCTCATATACCTCTTACCATCATCTGATTCACATCGCTGAAAATATGTTCATCATCTATTTTAATAGATTAGTTATTTAATAGATTTGGTATTCTTCTGCATAAAAAACTATATGGACAAAAATTTATTTTGGCCTTACTGGCATAGCTTCATAGACTTTTTAGGAGTTGCACTAATCTAATCAATAGCTCATCATTACTGTGGTCCCATTTAATGTAGGTAATGTGGTGAATAGCAGGTAAATCCAATATTTTTACTGGAGTTATAGGGAAATCCAGGGTTCCTAAAACATGGCATACCCATGTTATAATCTTTATTTCTGTATTTTTCCTCCAGTGGCTTCTGATCAAAACCACCAGAACAAAACAGGCCATCCCTATGCTTATATAATGACTGCATTGTCCAGTCCAGGATAGCTGAAGGAACTGTCCACTATTCACTCCTAAAAAAAGTCATTCTTTTGATTTATGGTACAAATCTAAAATATAACATCTAAATCTAAATACATTACCTTCTAGAGCTAAGTTCCAATATGTAATTTTATAAAAAATGAAAGAGACCTGGTCTTGGAATTTTTAGTGCACCTCGTATGAGTTACAGCAGAGACATATGCTCTGTACTTCCTTCACTGTCAAGGTATTCCTAATTATTATCAGATTTAGATATGTTCTGGAATTTCCTTTGCTTTGGAAAAGAGCTATTTGATGATACCATTGGCTATTGCAAATCATTAATGTTTCCTTGTTTCACTATAATAATCATAGAATCATAGAATCACTGAGTCAGAAGGGACCTAGACAGATCATTGAGTCTGACCCCCTGCCATGGGCAGGAACAAGCACAAGGGGTGGGAGGGGTCATAAGACCCCAGCCAGGTGCCTATCCAGTCTCCTCTTGAAGATTTCCAGGGAAGGTGAGAGCACCACCTCTCTGGGAAGCCTATTCCAGGCTCTGACCACCCTTACAGTGAAGTAGTTCTTCCTAATATCTAACCTAAACCTGTCCTCCCTCAGCTTGTGGCCATTGTTCCTGGTGGCTCCAAGGGGGGCCCTGGTAAACAGACTTTCCCCGAGTCCCTGCTGGTGGCCCCTGATAAGGTTGTAGGCAGCCACAAGATCCTCCCTCAGTCTCCTCTTGCAGAGACTGAAGAGATTCAGGTCCCTCAGCCTCTTCTCATAGGGCTGGCCATGGAGGCCCCCAAACATACGAGTGGCCCTCCTTTTAAATAATAATAAAAAACTAGAAAGTATATAATCCAATGCTGAATTCCTGTTCTTCTACACATTAGTAAACGTTTGATAACATGCATTAGTCAAGAGAAAAGGAAATTATCTTTGCAGATGTGGAACACTACAGGTAAATGACAAAAACTGTTGGAAAGAAATTGAAATGTAAATGGCCTAAAATGTATTAACTGAATAGCAAACCTGAAAATCAGATGTCTCATTTAATGTTATTTGACCATAATTCCAGTTATTTCCATAATTTCCTTCCTTCTGGAAAACTGTCTCTCTCATCATGTCACCTTTCACGATGTTAACACTTAAACGATACACATTAACACCATACATATGATACCTAGAAGGGGGAGAGGTAGGTAGTTGTGTTAGTCTGAAGTTAGGTATACAGTCAGGATCGAATTGCACCTTATGGAATAACTAGAACAGAGATGCATAAGCTTTCATAAGCAGTACTTCACTTTATCAGATGTTATCAAGGGACTGCAGGAAGCAAAATTCTAAATAGAAATGAGTGATTTGACTGCTTGTAGAACCAGAACATGGAATTTCACTCCGGACTTCCTCCATCTTGCCCAGCATTTTTCCATATGCAAAATATAGTCTTCATTGAGTTTAATGGCAAACTTCATAAGGCTGTGATGGAAATCCAAACTCTTCACAGAAGTGGCTTACATTGCTGTTGTGTGCACTTTGCACCAAGCCACAATATCATTTATTAAAATAGAACATTTCAGTATAATTACAGTTTAAATTAGAAGCTAGATTTAGTAATTATTTCTTAATGGTTAGATTAAGCAAATATTCAGTTTAAAGATGCAACATACCAAAAACATAGGCAGACAGGATCTGAAGCTGGAACTAAAGGCAAACTAAAAAGCTGGACTGTCGCTTGCCCACCTCCAAGTTCTATGGGTGTTGAAATATAAAATCCTGTAAAATAAAAAATATATTTTATTGGATATCAAGTTTGTAATGTTTGCTGATCAAATGATATTATTACAGCTAACAAAAACACCAAAGGATAGTGTTAATAGTGAATGACATTAAGCATGTTACAAATCAGTATGAGCTAAATCAGGTTAATACTTAACCATAAGATTATGCACAATTCTAAAAAATTATTTCTCTCTCATGTTTTTAAATTAACTCTTAACCTGAAGGATATTCTTAGGAACCAGGGTGGAACCTTGGCTCCCTTAAAATCAGGGGGCTTCTGTCATTTCTTCAGTGGAGCCAAGCTGGATTTACAGGAAGTAAATAAAGTGTGTCTACATTTCTGGCACATGTCCAGGCCCCTATAGGGGGATTGCTTTCCATTTCATACCGTTCATTGCACCAATAGGAATGAGACAGACTGTAGTCACTGAGACTCTAAGAGATGGAAGCAACATCAACACAAGCAATATTTCATTTGGGAGTATATTTTCCAGTCTTGTCTGAATTAAATCTTTGAGATTAGGATTCTGAAGCAACTGCTGTTAGGTAGGACTGTGAAATGGAGCAAGATTATGCAGAGAAGCACGCTAGTTCCACAAAAGTTTCACAGTATTAGGAGAAATGTCCTTTTGTGACCCTTTGAAGTCAATGGCAAAACTTTAAGGGACCCAAATTTCATTTGGTTGATGACAGTTTCATGTGTGTGGAAAATTCAGATAAATGAAAGAACATTTGATGGTCAGCTTTTCAATATGACCTCTAAATGAGACCTTTCATTTTGTATTGATTTAGAGTAGGTCATATTGAAATTCTGAACTTGAGGAATAAGTAAATGAGACA